AAATCCATGTTAATGTCAAGAGAACATGCATCTTGTTAGTGCCTTTAATAAAGGATATTTTGGAAACTGGTTTTGTTTGCCTCTGTCTGGTGTAAGTTAATTTTTATGTGTAGCCCTTAAAAACACTTCTGGTTTCTAGTGGTAAACTTCGTCTTTTATCTTCCTCCCTTTAAACAAATCAAAATGGTTGGGTTGTCAGATTTTTTTTTGCCTCCTTGGGAAATGCTTTGCTGTCAAAATAAATTCTGAGAAGTGTTCTTTTTATTAACGTATCTGTGGCCAAAGAACACCTAGATACCAGAGTGATAAACACTTTTTAAAGCCTTGCAGAGGGACAGAGAAAGAGGATGAACTGAGGAAAATGGAATCCACTGAAAACTGATTCTGCTGTGAGCTGGAGTGAGGATTATTTTTACACTACCGGAGCATTGTGCATGCTCTTATAAATACTGTCTCAAAGGACTAACATTTTTCTCTGTTGTATGAAACTCCTTTTGTAGAAGATTACCAAGCTCTGCTGAAACAGATGTTAGGTGCTGCTCTTGCCCTGCAGAGAACTGTCTTACAGGAACAGAGCTCCCGTCATGTACTGAGAAGTTCACTAAGTTTTGAGAACGAGGAGTACTTGTGGCACCTTAGAGACTAACAAATTTATTTGGGCATAAGCTTTTGTGAGCTAAAACCCACTTCATCGGATGCATGCAGTGGAAAATACTGTAGGAAGATGTATATGCACAGAGAACATGAAAAAATGGGTGTTGCCATACCGACTCTAATGAAACTAATCAATTAAGGTGGGCTATTATCAGCAGAGAAAAAAAAACTTTTGTAGTGATAATCAGGATGGCCCATTTCAAACAGTTGACAAAAAGGTGTGAGTAACAGTAGGGGAAAAATTAGCATGAGGAAATAGTTTTTACTTTGTGTAATGATCCATTCGCTCCCAGTCTTTATTCAAGCCTAATTTAATGGTGTCCAGTTTGCAAATTAATTCCAGTTCTGCAGTTTCTCATTGGAGTCTGTTTTTGAAGTTTTTTTGTTGGAGAATTGTGACTTTTAGGTCTGTAATTGAGTGACCAGGGAAGCTGAAGTGTTCTCCGACTGGTTTTTGAATGTTATAATTCTTGACATCTGATTTGTGTCCATTTATTCTTTTGTGTAGAGACTGTTCGGTTTGGCCAATGTACATGGCAGATGGTGTGGCTGATGTGATTAGGTCCTATAATGGTGTCCCTTGAATAGATATGTGGACAGAGTTGGCAACGGGTTTTGTTGCAAGGATAGGTTCCTGGGTTAGTGTTTTTGTTGTGTGATTGCTGGTGAGTATTTGCTTCAGGTTGGGGGAGCTGTCTGTAAGCGAGGACTAGCCTGTCTCCCAAGTTCTGTGAGAGTGAGGGATCATCCTTCAGGATAGGTTGTAGATCCTTGATGATGCGCTGGAGAGGTTTTAGTTGGGGGCCGAAGCCGTCGGCTAGTGGCGTTCTGTTACGTTCTTTGTTGGGCCTGTCCTGGAGTAGGTGACTTCTGGGTATTCTTCTGGCTCTGTCAATCTGTTTCTTCACTTCAACAGGGGAGTACTGTAGTTTTAAGAACGCTTGATAGAGATCTTGTAGGTGTTTGTCTCTGTCTGAGGGATTGGAGCAAATGCGGTTGTATCTTAGAGCTTGGCTGTAGACAATGGATTGTGTGATGTGGTCTGGATGAAAGCTGGAGGCATATAGGTAAGTATAGTGGTCAGTAGGTTTCCAGTATAGGATGGTGTTTGTGACCATCGCTTCTTAGCACAGTAGTGTCCAGGAAGTGGATCTCTTGTGTGGACTGGTCCAGGCTGAGGTTGATGGTGGGATGGAAATTGTTGAAATCATGATGGAATTCCTCAACGGCTTCTTTTCCAAGAGTCCAGATGATGAAGATGTCATCAATGTAGCACAAGTAGAATAGGGGCATTAGGGGACGAGAGCTGAGGAAGCATTGTTCTAAGTCAGCCATAAAAATGTTGGCATACTGTGGGGCCATGCAGGCACTCATAGCAGTGCCGCTGACTTGAAGGTATACATTGTCCCCAAATGTGAAATAGTTGTGGGTGAGGACAAAGTCACAAAGTTCAGCCACCAGGTTTGCCGTGACATCTACGTGAAAGAATAATGGACACAAATCAGATGTCAAGAATTATAACGTTCAAAAACTAGTCGGAGAACACTTCAACCTCCCTGGTCACTCAATTACAGACCTAAAAGTTGCAATTCTCCAACAAAAATTTCAAAAACAGACTCCAATGAGAAACTGCAGAACTGGAATTAATTTGCAAACTGGACACCATTAAATTAGGCTTGAATAAAGACTGGGAGTGGATGGATCATTACACAAAGTAAAAACTATTTCCCCATGCTAATTTTCCCCCTACTGTTACTCACACCTTCTTGTCAACAATTTGAAATGGACCATCCTGATTATCACTACAAAAGTTTTTTTTCTTCTGCTGATAATAGCCCACCTTAATTGATTAGTCTCGTTAGAGTTGGTATGGCAACACCCATTTTTTCATGTTCTCTGTGTATAACATTTTCCTACTGTATTTTCCACTATATGCATCCAATGAAGTGGGTTTTAGCCAACGAAAGCTTATGCCCAAATAAATTTGTTAGTCTCTAAGGTGCCACAAGTACTCCTCGTTCTTTTTGCTGATACAGACTAACACGGCTACCACTCTGAAACTAAGTTTTGAGTTGTGCTAGAACTCATCAGCACAATTTTCTCAGCATTTTCAAACCTTCCTCTGAAAATGTGAAATGCCTTTGGAGGCTCGCATCAACTTGTACTCATTCTCCTTTCAAGGTTTAGGGGCCCTCTGTTTGTGCATGTGACTGTTAGCAACTGGCAGCAATTTGCACTCATTTCAACACTTCCTCTTTGGCAGTTCCAAGGTCAAGAAATGCAAACAAGCAGCCCCAGTCCCTTTACAGCCTGACTTCTCAGTCCTGTGCATGTGCAAGTGACAGCTGTTGCTGAATCGCCAAGCCTTTGGCACCTGTGGTAAAAATCAGCCCATAGAAATTAAAAGTTGAATAATAGCGACACGAAGTTGGAGTATTGCAGTGGTGAATCAGGCCTGGTTTCCCAAACTGCCAGTGGTGCACGGTCAGCCTGGAATCTGAAAGTCAAGCTGTGCTCTCTCCTCAACAGTTCTGCTCCTGCTGTACAAGCCAGTTGATGTGGAATCCAGCTCACTCGCTCTTTCTTGTGCTGTGTCTGCAGTGCTGAGAAGAGTAAAAAGGAGCAAAGCCTTTTTGTCACTAAATTCAGCAGCCGTGCTGTAAATGCAAGTCTGTTGAGTTTTAAGAGCTGTCGATTTGCAGAGTCACTTGAAATTTGCACTGTTGATAATGGTCATGATGACTGCTGGGTCAAGCAGTTCCTGTCTGTCAAAAATACCAAGAAAAACTTACCTATTGGTCTGTGCTATGTACTGTACTGGAAACTAAGTTCAAGAGGTGTGTGTGTGTGTGTGTGTGTGTGTGTGTGTGTGTGTGTGTGTGTGTGTGTAGAC